GTTCAAACCCCAGCCCTGGCTAAAAACTGCAAAAAAAAAAAAAAAAATTGCTTCCTTTTGAATTAGGTCTGTGTCTCCCCTACATTAGGCTTGTTGGGGGTAACACTCTTTTGTATTCAGATTGTATATCACCAGTACTTTAAAATACTCTATCTACTTTTAAAAAATCTAAACTAGAACTCATAGCTTGCACATTAGAGGAAATGACTTCTAAAGCTACAAGTATGCAGGTGTATGTGTTCCTGAATCTCAATCTGTAGTCTATCGGTTTGCTTCTCTACCAGTATCATATTATTTTAAATTACCTTAGCATTTTTTGCACATTTTGCTATTTATAGGGCAATTTGGCCTAGAGTGGGAACTTGCAGCTGAAAGAAAACAAGAATTGTTTTCTTAGCTTAAGGAACTGAAGGTTCAGAGGGTAGATTTCAGCACTTATTTTAGCAGCTCTGGCTCTATTTCTCAGCAGCTCTCCTTTAGCTTGCTTGATAGTTTCATCCTCTACCTGGTGACGAGATGGCTGCAGTCATTTCCAGGCCTCACATCTATCTGTTCATGACAAAATCCAGAGATAGTCTTTTATCGTGTTTCTCAAGAGCCAATCAGTTCTCCCCTGAATTCCCTAGTATATTTTATTTTGTATCTCTTTGGCCTTAATTGGGTTAAAGTGGAAGAACCTAGCAAGGAAAAGATGATGATTGGTTTATACAGGTTCTTAATTCTGGCTGGCTGTATACTGGGGTCACTTAGTTTTGAAAAATACTAATACCACCTTTCTAAAATATTTGTTGAAAGTTGTAAATGTTTACATTTCTAGATAGATTTTTAAATCATTCTGTCCTGTTTCAAAATAAATTCTACTGGGACCTAGAATTAAATTTCACAAATTATAGATTAATTGGATGGGGTGGGGGGATAGGGAACGAATCAGCAAATGGCCAGGTACCCTTGAAAAATAATTCTTTCTTGCTCATTGTTGTAATTTACTTTTTAATCATGTACAAATAATTATTTAGAACTAGTATAACTCTTTATTTTGAAGAGTTGCAAGAATGCAAATAATTTTTTTTCTGGCTTCTCTCTGCTCATCATTGTTTCTTGAATACCACATTGTCCTCTTTTTTTTTTTTTTAAGCATTAGTTGTTTTGCTTCTTACGTATTTGAGTCACTGTACGTGAAATTTGTTTCCACCTTGTTTACACATTTCAATGCCAGTGGATGTTGAATACTAGAATAAAATGTATTTCCATGAGAACTTTTGAAGAACTTGCTTCATTGTTAAGAAAAGAGACTGCTTGCTCAGTATCCAAAACAAAAAGCCAGATTTATTTGCTTGCAAAGCCAGAGATAGCTATTTTATATAAAATAATCTCTTTGAAGAAAACAGAGAACTCATCTGGTTGTGACAGGTTTGATTAGGAGTGAGGTTCTGATGTGAGATTGGCTTGTAATTTTCCTTTCTTCAGAAAAAGTTTGTATAAATTGGAATCACCTGTTCCTTGGATCTTAATAGAACTTACCTGTTAAACCTCCGTTTCTGGTATTTTCATTATGGGAAGGTTTCTTTAATGACAAATTCGATTTTATTATGATTATTATTTTAATTTTCTATAAATTTGGGCATTCTCTTGTTTTCATATTTATTGACAAAATTATTTATAATGTTTCCATGATTTTTGGAGGTTTACAGCATTTACATTTGTGACTGCCTTTTCATTCCTGGTATTTAGGTATGTTTTTTCTTTTTTGTACTGATCATCGTCTTGCCAGAACTATGTCAATTTTATTGGTCTTGACAAGAAACCACAACCACACCTGGTTTTATTACACTTGACTTGATTGTGCCTCACAGATTCTGCATTTCTTACAAATTGAAGGTTTGTTACAGTTTTGCATCAGTCAAGTCTGTTGGTACCATTTTTTAACAGCATGTGCTCATTTTGTATTTCTAGGTCACCATGTGATAATTCTTGCAGTACATGTTTCAGACTTTTTCATTATTGTATCTGTTATGGTGATCTGAAATCAGTGATCTTTGATGTTATTATTGGAATTGTTTTGGAGCACCATGAACTATGCCCATATGACACAACAAGCTTGCTCTATAAATGTTTGTTTTCTAGTTGCTCCGTAAACCAGCCAGTCTGTCTTTTTTCTCTCTCACTTTCCCTGGGCCTCTTTATTCCCTGCAACACAATTTTGAAATTAGGCGAATTAGTAACCTATAGTAGCCTCAAAATGTTCAAGTGAAAGGAAGAGCTGCTTACCTCTCACTTTAAATTAAAAACTAGAAATGATTAGGTTTAGTAAAGAAGTCTTGTTGAAAGTTGAGATAGGCCAAAAGCTAGGCCTTTTGTACCAGACAGGCAGAACATTGTGAATGCAAAAGAAGAGTTGTTGAAGGAAATAAAATGCTACTTTAGTGAACACACAAATGATAAGAAAGCAAAATAGATGTTATATATGTTGAGTAGAATTTTTGTCATCATGTGGTGAACTTTATTGGTAGTAAATGGTTTTTACCTTAAAATTATTTTGTGATATTCATATAGGAACACCTGTTTCTTTAAATTAGTATTTGCCTCATGCACTTTTCAGTATTTTTTATTTCAATTCTTCAGTGTCCTAGGATTTTTAATGTGTGTCCATTTTGAAAAACATGTAGAATGCTATTTCAACCTTACATAAAAATATTTTTTGTATGTTTCGCAGTGCAGAAGCTGCTGAAAGATGGCAGAAGAAGTGGTGGTAGTAGCCAAGTTTGATTATGTGGCCCAACAAGAGCAAGAGCTAGACATCAAGAAGAATGAGAGATTATGGCTTCTGGATGATTCTAAATCCTGGTGGCGAGTTCGAAATTCCATGAATAAAACAGGTTTTGTGCCTTCTAACTATGTGGAAAGGAAAAACAGTGCTCGGAAAGCATCTATTGTAAAAAACCTAAAGGATACCTTAGGTAAGGTGTTTTTGCCTTAAAAGAAAAATAACAACTTCCATTTAAACAGATTCTAGAGTTTAATTCTTTGTGTAACATTCTGGCCTCAGAATTGACTTGAAAAGGCAAGACTAGAATTTCAGTTAGGCAAGGTAGGTTTGACTGATAGCAGTTATTCAAGCAAGGAGACCAGTGAAGGTCATAAATGTTATTTGCAAGCAGTTTCTGTAAATTTAGGCCCAAGTTTAAAGGTCAAGCCTAAATGGTGCTAATGAGCTGAGCTAATTATGGCTTTTAAGAAGGGCATCTTTGAACCATGACTGCCTTTGGAGTTTAGTCTTAATATTTAGGCAATAGTACCTCCTTGGCATCAAGACAGCTTACTTTACATGGCTCAGTGCTGAATTTTAACACCTAATGGCTTACATTTTGAACTTCATTTAAAAAAATAAACCATTATTTTATTCTTCTGTTTGGTATGATACAGTAATGTGGGTCATTACTGTATGCTAGCATCTGCAGAGCTGATCTTTCTTATTTTGTTTCACTTATCTCCCCTCCTTTCTTCCTCTAACTGTAAAGTTCTTATTTTTATTTTCACTGGCCCTCCATTAGGGCCTGAGACAGTAGAGCTAACTTCACACTGGGCTTGGCTAAGCTAATAGGAGGAAATGTACATGGATGAAGCCTCCTCTGCTGCTGCTTTTTTTTTTTTTTTTAAATTCTTAGGTGATAGAAAGTATTGGAAGGGACAGAATTTCATTCATTTTTGGTATTCAGACAAGCATGCTGTTGCTTAATGGTTCTTTTTCTATATGTAGAAGAAAAGTAAAATTTCTCTTTGCAAATACAGCATGGTTGACAAATGTGAAATATTATTATTGACTCACTATTTTACATTAGTATTTTTAATATTTTGAGACAGTGTCATGGTATGTTGACCAGGCTGGACTTGAACTAATGACCTCAAACGATCCTCCCACCTTGGCCTTCCAAAATGCTGGGATCCCAAGCATGAGCCACTGTGCCCAGCCTATTTTTAGTTTTTAAATGAAAGGTAAATCAGAAATTTTCCTTGAAGAGCTGAAGGGACCAAAGCTAGAACCAGGAATACTTCTGATTTTTAAAATACTGGACATTTATTTAAAACATGTTAATTAGAGGTATGGGGAAAATTAAGGTTATGCCTCATAGTGATGAATGCAGAGAAAGAACTAGGGATACCTAGGTAGACCTTTTTGTTCCTTTTTAAAAGGTTACTGTTATCCTGGGACTACAGAAAATGTGGCAGTAATTTACAAAAGATAGTTTAAATAATATCAAAGAGGAAAAATAGCTCAGTTTTTGATGTTTTGATACATAAACCTAAAAAGTCATTTTTTATATATATATATATATATATATTTTTTTTTTTTTTTTCTTTTGAGACAGTCTCAAGCTGTCACCCTGAATAGAGTGAGGGCATCATGACTCACAGCAACCTCCAACTCTCACATTCAAGTGATCCTCTTGCCTCAGTTTTCCTATTTTTAGGAGAAGACGGGGTCTCTCTCTTGCTCTCAAACTCGTGAGCTCAAGCAGTTTATTCACCTCGGCCTCCCAGAGTGCTGGAATTACAAGTGTGAGCCACCATGCCCAGCTATAAGTAATTTTTATTATTTGTTAATATTCTTGGGAAAACTTTCTATATTATTTTCTGATATTGAGACAAAAATACAAAATTTAAGTTTTCCTCTGTATTTAAGTCTTAGTAAATCTCTGTTAACTTTATTACCATATTACATTGTTACATATTCTAAGGGACTTGGAAACCTTTTCTTAAGGTAATGGTCTATGGTTAGCCTGTATAATGATGTAAATCCAGCATTTTGCATTAGACAGTCTTATCCCTTTTCTTGGTATCATTTTGGTAATTTAAATGTCTCATAAATGAATTTGTTTCATAGTGAGTTTGTTCCCTGAGACAGTATTTGAAAGTTAAGAAGGAAAAGGAGAAAACTAAAAAGATAAAGGTATATATATATATTTTTAATAGTTAAAAATAATAGTTAAAAGCTTCTTCCCAAATAAGTCTGAATAATTAGGTCACATTTTTTGGCCATTATGACTTGTTTTACAGGTTCTGTTATAGTTTGAGCAGGGGGAGTTTTAGAAAGGGAGAAACCTCAGAGAAACTCTGTATTGCCTGGGTGTGAGCCAGGTCACATGGATTGGGTGTGGGAAGTTTCAGTGTTACAGAATAGACCAGGAAGCACACTGAAAATTATCTTGAGCTGTGTTGACAAACTGACAAAAGAGAACACGGAATTTTTATTGAAAATGGATTGGTTAAACGTCTTTAAAGATTTTTTCAGTAAGTTAATCTGTTTCCCATTGTTTTCCTGTAGTTTTTGAATTAGAGTTTTCTCTTTTGTGAATTTAAAGGAAAAGTCTTGGAGAAATCTTGGTGGGCTTACATAAGTTGATACAGCATGTTGTTTATGTAATGTAATGTGGGCTAAATGATTAGTGGTATATCAGATAATAGTAGTTTTGACTTTAAGTAAAATAATTTTAAAATATTTTTGAATGTTTAACAAATAGGGAAATGATATAAATGGTTTGAGCTTAATGTGGTTCTAATTCAGTAACTTTCAACTTAGCACAGATATTTAAATTGAACTAAATACATTTATAAACATTGAAAACATCAGGAAATGAAGGATTAGGTAAATATTCTTTCATCCTTGACCTTTGAATTAATGTGGTACTGTTTAATTATTTTTTACTTAGACTTTAGAGAAACAGTGTAAAGATAACCTTTAATAAAAGAACTAGTAAAAATAATGCTTTTATTTGATCAATGTAAGATTGATAGAAGTTGCTGTTTTGATGAGTGTGAGATTTGGTATTTTGAAATGGGGTCTGAGAATTGCTTTATACAAAGAAAATGGTGAATAATGCCGAACCTTTTTTAGTTCAGGTTATGAAGTAATACTAATACTAATTTACAAAAGCCTAATCTGTGTGTCTGTGGACGGCCTTTTTACGATCTTATCATAGTGAACTTGATTTGATCTCCTTGAACATTTGCTTGGTGTTTCTAGAAAAACGAACAGAGGAATTATTGTGGAAGTCTTATATACAACAAGCCTAAGGAAACAAAAGAGTAATCTGACAAGAGATTCCAGGGAAAAGGGCAAAACAGAAAAGGAGTGACCACTTTGTTGAAAAGGAATGTTGTAATGTGGAGACTGATTTGTTTCTTTTTAGCCTCCGAATCCCTCTGGACACTTTTACCTTTTGTTTACTTTTTTTGGCATTATTAAAATTTCAGATCTTTGCATTTTCAGATTTGGGGGTTAATTCAAAGAACTTGGTAATATTTATTCATTTGTTTATCAAGATATTTTGGAGAGCCTATTGCAATCCAGGAAAAAGCCATAGAGTAGAAAACTAATACTGTTTCTCACAGATCCTGCATTCTGGTGGGGAGGTAGGTGATAGTTATTTAGTAATAATTACAGTGGATTTCATGTCTAGGTTTGGTCATCAGCAATTTTGACTGTAAATCAGCCATAATGATATAAAAAGAGTATTTGTATCATTGATAGAGTGATTTAATATATAGTAGAAGAACCTCTGTAAGTTGAACACCCAAGAGACTATAACAAACTGGTCAAACATATGGAGGTGGTCAACATAGGGAACTCGGCCTCCTGTACTAATATATACATGTGGTGCATGTCCAATCTATGAAAATTAAGTCAGTTTAAGGAGGTAATCAACTGCGGAGGTTCTGTATATTATCATATGTATCGTCAGTACAGTGATATAATTACCATTCTCTGTACTGAGTCTTAGGAATTTGATAATCAGTCCTAAATGCATTTATAGACTGAGGGTAAGGGTTTGAGATTTGTAACCAAAATCCTTTCTTCAGTCCCTGGAGCACCCCCCAAATTTATTTATTTTGCCAGGTGAATTACTACAGATGGGCTATCTGCTCCCTGAATGGACTTAAAGTAGAGGAAACAGGATATGTGCTCTTGTGTGGTAGCCAGAATGCCTTGGAAAACAAAAACTACACAGTGTTTTAGATGAGGATAATAAAAAAATAATTCATTTCATGTAGTTAAATAGATGAAAATACAAAAATTTAATAAAAGCCTGTGATGGAAAGAATACCATATATTTCTATTAGAATTCCTTAGTTCTGCTTCCAGATACACCTCTTACTAGCCATGTGGCCTATGATAAATAATCTTGATTTCCTGTTCCTTACTTGTAAAGGAGAGAGTTGGGCAAGACTTGATGATCCTGGAAAGTCCCTTCTAAATAAAAGTCTCATAGTCTTGGCAAACAACTAAGCAATCTTAGGTGTGTCATAGGGACCAGAGGAAATTAGCAAAGGAGAAATTTGTTTTGATGAAAGAGGAAAGTAAGAACGGAATTAGAAGAAGCTAATGGAACTCTGGAACATTTACTGAGTGATTTAGATGAAGGAAAAATGATGTAGTGGTAGTAAGAAAGACTTCATGCTGTAATCAGGCGTCCTCAAACTACAGCCTGTGGGCCACATGCAGCCCACCTAGGACATTTATCAGGCCCGCCCGGTGTTTTTGCCACAGCTGCCTGTCCTGCTTTGTAGCTGACACATCCCGGGGCCCACAGTCCAGCCCTCCAACAGTCTGAGGGATAGTGAACTGGCCCCCTGCTTAAAAAGTTTGAGGACCCCTGTAACTAAAGTCCCCACACAGTCCATGGTGGCATTGATTCAAGTCTAGGAGGTGTTCTGGAAACGATGAGGTAGCTACCTTATTTGTGTCCTGGACAAAGAAAAAGCACAATGAAGTTTATCTTCTTTGGATAGATATATTCAGATACCTAAGTGCTTCCAAACACTAGCATCTGGAATATCAAAAGATTTGTAACCAGGTTACATAAGGAACAGTTATGGATACAGAGATTTTTCTCAGGAGGAGGACAGCTATGACACAAAGAAGAAATGTTCACAGTGTTTAACCAGCTTCTTAAAAAGTCTTGAGTTTATAATGCATTGTTTTGATTAAGAAGCAGTTCTGTGGGAAGAGTGAAATAAGAACAAACAGTAGTAGTGAGTTCTTCCAAAGCTGCACTAATACTTAAAAAAATAACACAGACACACAAAGTTAATGATAAATTACTGCCTCAGAATTGTGCACATACCTCCCCAGTGATTAAATATGAGCATTTCCTTCCCCACTACTGCCAAGTCTAGCAGTATAATGCAATAAAAAAGATTAAAGTAATTTTGAAAATTTAGTACTCAAAACACTAGGAAGAGGTAGGAAAGTAATAACTACCATTTACTGAGTGCCTGCTATGTGTTATGCACTGTGCTAAGTGCTTTACATATACATGTTTTAAAATTCTTTTTACAAAACATTCATGAGGTAGGTAATTATTACACACCACCATTTTACAGCTAAGGAAACTGCAGTTTAATGAAAATTAAGTAAGTTGATATTACACAATCAGTAACAGGACTAAAATCAAACCTCTATCTCTTTCATTAAAGTTTTCATAGTGTATTCTTTAGGACTAAAGAGTAGAGAAAGAATTAGAAAGGTTTGATGCAAAAAAGGACTGAGGTTAGCAGGATTGGTTTAACAAACTGAGAGATAGGTTAAGTGCTATGGTCTGAATGCTTGTGTTCCCCACAATTCATAGGTGTTAAAACCTAATCACCAATCTGATATTAAAAGGTGAGACATTTGGAAGGTGACTAGGTCACGAGAACAGAACCCTCATGAGTGGGATTGGTGCTACAGGGTGTCCATAAAGTTCATGTGCACTTTAAAATAATTGTAAATTTTATAAGAGGCCAAGGAGAGCTTGTTTTGCCCTTTCCATCACGTAGGGACTAAGCAAGAAGGTGCCGTCTATGAGAAATGGGCCCTCACCAGACAGAATATGCCAATACTTTGAGCTTGGACTTTCTGGTCACCAGAATTGTAAGAAATAAATTTTTGTTAATCGTGAGTTGCTCAGTTTATGGTATTTTTGTTATAGTATCCTGAATGAACTAAGGAAGAACTTAGAAAAGGTAAAAGAAAGCTAAACTCTGAGGAAGATTTATGAAAGAATATAATTGTTGGCTGATAATAACAATGCAAAATGCAAAAGTATTAATACTTTATATAACTTTGTAAAGCACTTTTGCATCTGTTCTCATTGATGTAGGAACTATTTTTCTAGCAATAGAAACAAAGGACAGTGAACAGGTCCTTCTCAAAGAGGTTATAAGCAGAGGAATAGCAGGGTTTCCATAAAGTTCATGTGCAATTTAAAATAGTTGATTTTAAATTGCACACAAACTATGGACACCCTGTGCAACCTACCAAATATTTAATGGAATATTTAATAAGGGCATGGCACTGGGGATAGAGATGTGATTAAAAACTTGGTATTTGATCTCAAAGAAGATGATTTTTGTAAACAGAATATTAAGTGTTTTAATAAAGGTATTTATAAAGAGTAGTAATGGCACAAAGGAGGAATACATCAACTCTTTTAAGAAGAGAAAAGGAAATATTTAGTGAAAAAATACCTGGACTGAGTCTTGAAGAATGAGGATGGGAACTGTTTTAGGCAGAAAAATACTGTGTGCAAGGCTCAGAGCCTTGAAAGAGCATAGGGTTTTGGTAATATTGAGGAGCTGATAGCTGTAGCATTAGTTATAGGACAGCACAGGTGTGGGGTTGAAGACATGCTAACGAGAGATTATTGAGGGTTTTCTGTTACATAGAAAACAAATATTCTAAGCTTATGTTCTTTTCCCTGAAATATTTCTGGCCTCTAACATTGAAGTACATTATTCTTAGTGTTTTCCCACTTGTAACTTTAATTCTTCTTTTCTTTTTTTGGTAACATATAATTAGTCTTAGATATTACCTTTTTCAGAATTCTCTTAAAGAATTATTTGGAAACTAATCTTTATTTTAAGGTTGAAAAAAAAATTTTAATTTGCTTATATCATTACATTTTACTCAGTTTAACAAATACTTAATGAGAATCTGCTGTGTCCACAGTTCTGAATGGTGTAGGAAATAATAAAAGATAGACATAGAATGCTCTTCTCTGGACGTTTATGCTGTAGTAGATGAACTTAAAAGATAAATACAAGAATTATAATACAGGTATATCAGAAGTACAAGGTGCTTGCTTGGCTATTTAAAAAAGGAGAGGTTACACATCATTGGGGATACGGGTGGGAAATGAAGGGTGCCGAGAAGCAGAGTAGGAAGATTAATAAAATTATTACTTGGAAATTGTTAATAAGGTTTTGGGAAAAAATTAGCATACAATATTAAGTTATAAAAATAGAAACTT